AGGCGGGCCGCGGGCTTGGATTCCGCGGTGAGAGGGCGGGTCGCGCGGGACGGGGGCGGGGCCAGTCGGGGGCGGGGCCAGTCGGGGGCGGGGCGGAGGATAGCCAGGCCAGCGGGCTCGGATTGGGCGATGAGAGGGCGGGTCGCGGGGGGCGGGGAGGGGGCGGGGCCAGACGGGGACGGGGCGGAGGATAGCCGCCACGGGCTCGGATTGGGCGATGAGGGGGCGGGGACGGGGGCGGGGCCCGCCTCCTGGAGGCCGGGACTGGAAAGGGTGCCGACCAGCCGGAGCCGAGTGGGCGAGCCCGGCGGGTGCAGGGGAGGCGGCGAGCGAGGCGGGGGCCTGGTCCGAGGGCGCCGGACGCGGCGGGGTTCCTGCGTCTGAAAGCGGACCTGGCTGCTCCCGTGCGAGTGGAGCGCGGGTCAAGCCCTCGGGACAGCGGGGCATCGAAGCCAGAGACGGGTGCTGAGCCTCCGGGGACCGGGAAGCCTCGCCAGCCTCCCGCGCTCCGGGCCAGGCTCTCCGTCCTGCATGGCCCCCCGCGCGGCTCCTGTCGCCGCCTCATGTTCTGATCGCAGGGACCGCACGGGACCCTCCTGCGGGCTGAGCCCTCCCCGGCCCCACTAAGGGGCTCTGGGGACCCCGCTGGGGAGCAGGGGCTCGAGTCTTGGGAACCAGGTCATGAGGACAAGACAGGCCCCTCCACTCACCCGCAGGCTGCCCCTCCGCCCTGCGCTCTCAGGGGGGCCTGGGGCGGCCGGGGGGGAGGGGGGGGCTTGTCAGGGCCGCACCCCGGAGGGGACAGCCTCAGGCGCAGCTGGGGTCCTGAGCAAGAGGGTGGGAGGAGTGGGGGGGGGACCGGGTGAGGCCCGGAGCCTCCAGGCTGCACCTGCCCAGCGGCCACCTGGTGGGGGAGGCCGGGGCCCCAGATGCACTTGAGTGGCCTCAGGACAGTAGAGAAGCGCCCGCCCTGTTACAGGCACTGAGGGGAGCCACGGGGTGTGGGGGGTGCACCCAGGGGGCTGGGGAGCCACAGGGCCCCGCTGCCCCGGCCCAGAGGATGTGGGCAGGACCCGTGGCAGCTCTTGGCCTCACCTCTGCTCTGCCCTCCAACCTCAGGAGGCTCAGCCGTGGGAGGAACCCCAGCCTGGCCCGGCCTAGTGATACGGAACCGGCAGGGCAGTCCGGGGGAGCTGGGGGAGCCCCACCAGCAGGAGGAGGGCACAGCCGGGGGGCCTGGCCCTCTCACCAGTCCTGTGCCCCTCGAGAGCCACGCCCCTGCCTGGGCCCATGTCCTGGGCGGGAGGCTGCCTGCTGCGTTGGCTGGCGGCCTGGGCAGACCTTGGAGGCGGTGGTGCAGGGGAGGCGAGGGCACCTGAGACCCTGGGCCTCACACGGACAGTGCACGTCCAGCGGCACCAGCGGGACTTGGAGCTGGCTGGGCCCCCTCCCTCGGGGTCCCGCCTGTCTGTACCGAGGGCCTCGCTCTCTGGTGGGGGCCCTGGGATCACGGGGTTCAGGTCGCCTCAGTTTCCTCAGTGGTGCCCAGAGCTGCTTGTTTGGGGTGCTGCTGGCAAAGAAAAAAAAAAGTGAAAATTGCCTACCTTTTTCCTCCAAAGTGACTTTCTAAAAAATTAGGTGCCTATACTTGGGTAAGGATTTCTGGTCCCCAAAATTAATCAATCAGATGCAACCTCATTATGCGACATGGCCAACAAAGACGCAACTCTGTTATATCACCTACATACAGGGTGCCCCCCCCCCCCGCCCCTCTCCCCAAATCTATACGCACTTTAGCAGCTGACAGCTCCAGGACCGGAGTCAGACTCCAGAGCGGCCAGCAGGCGTCGCCATCGGCTCATCTGCTCCACCGAGTTAGCAGGTTGGGTTTCTGGGCGTCAGGGAGTGAGTGCTCCTCTGAGGACGGAACCAAAGACAGAGGCGTGGCCGCTCCCCGGGCCGCAGCGTCCAGGGGTGGACGTGGCTGAGGTGACTGACTGGGTTTCAGAGCAAAGTCAGGTGGAAGGTGCAGCCGGAAGCCCTTGCCCGTCAACAGTCAGCTCTGTGTCCCCTGCTGACCACTGGTGGCCAGGGCTGGAGCCCCGTGTCTCGGGACTCTGGGGTGGGCGGGCGGGGGCGAGGGCTTTTGCCGGCGGAGGTGGGGCCCCTAGCCCCAGGCGAGGGCTAAAATAGTGCTTTTCCTCCCACCTTCTAAGCCAGGGGTGGGCAAACTTTTTGACTCGAGGGCCACAATGGGTTCTTAAACTGGACCGGAGGGCCGGAACAAAAGCATGGATGGAGTGTTTGTGTGAACTAATATAAATTCAAAGTAAACATCATTACATAAAAGGGTACGGTCTTTTTTTTTTTTTTAGTTTTATTCATTTCAAACGGGCCGGATCCGGCCCGCGGGCCGTAGTTTGCCCACGGCTGTTCTAAGTTCTAGCTGGGTCAGTATTCAAATTAAGAGACAGGTTAACACAGTGGTTCTCAACCTCGGCTGCACATTAGAATCACCGGGGAATCTTTTTAAAATCCTGATTTCTGGGCCTCATCCTCCGGAAATTCTGTTTCTTTGTTATGGGCTGGGGACACAACATTAGTCACAAAGAAACAGGATTTCCGGAGGATGAGGCCCTGAAATCAGGATTTTAAAAAGATTCCCAGGTGATTCTAATGTGCAGCCAAGGTTGAGAACCACTGGGTTAACAGGAGAAAATCAAACCTTAATACCCAGGCATGCGGGGCCTTCACGTAAGCACGAACATTCCAAAGACAAGAGGCAGCACGGGGCACAGGGGACATTCTTGGACGAAGGAGAAAGCGGGGGGCGCGGCGGGGGGCGGGGAGGGTCTTCGCTGTCAGAACTGGGAGCGGGTGATTGGCAGGTGGTCGAGGGTGAGGAACACACAGAGTAGGACAAGCGTGTCAGACTCACAGGCGAGCACGGGCCCAGCAAGGTGTACGTGGATGTGGCCACAAAGCACAAAAGCTTCCATTTTCATAGAAACGTAGGTTTATTTCGACGGAGACATGCTGAATACAAAGGGCTGAGAGAGATGAGTCATCGTTCACATAAAATAATAGGACGTTTTAATAAAAATCAATATTTTTTCTTGAACTTACCAGACACTGAATAACTGCACAAATTAATAAGCGTCACGCAAATAAACCTGCTTTTCTTGTTCCCAGCGAAATATTTCCTGTTGCGCACACCAAACAAGTCAGTCCAAGACTAATGACATGGCCATCGGCTGCTAGAATATTTGCTGCTGGTGTTAGCGGAGAGAAATGGTGCGCCTGCGGGTGAGGGACATGAATGCAACACGATGATAGTCATCGGTCATTAACGGACGCTGTAGTTCGTTATTAATAATTACGTATAACAGGATATTGTGAAAATTAAGTTAGGAAACTTTTATTAAAACGTTTCTTACACACCGTTATATTGGCTGGGCCGCAGAAATATTCCTTGTGGGCCGCGTGTGGCCCGCGGGCCGCGAGTTTGACGTGCTTGGCGTAGGGAGTTTCTTGCCAGGCAGCTCAGAGCCCAGGGGACACACACATCTCGCTAACAGGCCTGGAGCCCGACCAGAGCCGGGGGAAGGGCTCCGGGCGGCGATGTTCACCCTTCAGCTCACGGCGCACGTACGCTAACGGCTAACATTCTGCATTTTTTGCTGATCTGACAAAAAGTAGTTATAATCTTAATAGATTTAATACCAAAAAAAAGTAAGTAATTGCCTACGCTTTTTGTTCCAAAGTGACTTTTAAAAAAAATCAGGTGCTGCCCAGCCAGCGTGGCTCAGGGACTGAGCGTTGACCTATGAGCCAGAAGCTCAGGTTCAATTCCTGGTCTGGGCACATGCCTGGGTTGCAGGCTTGATCCCCAGTGGGGGGCGAGCAGGAGGCAGCCGATCAGTGATTCTCTCTCATCATTGATGTTTCTATCTCTCCCTTTCCCTTCCTCTGTGACATCAATAAAAAATATATTTAAAAAAAAATCACGTAAGGATTTCTGGTTCCAAAAATGAACCAATCAGAGGCAACCTTGTTATGTGACGTGACCAGTATACATGTTGACCCCCAAATCTATACGCACTGGAACAGCTGACAGCTCAGTCTTGAGGATGGAATGCATGTTCGTAAACACTGCCTTTATGATTGTTCAGTGTGTGCACACAGTCTGGGGGACGCCCTACGCTTATGGCGCGAGACCGGCCTTCACGCTGGACGGCTGATGGTTAGCTGTTGTCCTTTTTTATTTGACAATCGCAGGGGGAGAGGGCGGTGCCCCCGACGGAATCGTCAGGCCTGGCCTGTGTTCACATCCTCGGGGCACACCAGGGTGCCAGGGCACACCGGGCTGAAGACCCCTGCCCGG